CTCCGCTGCTCCGCGGACGACGCTCGGTCGGCGGAGGAAACGGAAAGGGAGGTCCAAATAGACGGCCGCGCGCCGCGACACAGTGCTTCTCTCCCGCACCCGTGCTGGCCACACCGCGAGTGCGAGAGAGACAGAGCGACGCACTGCGGAGTCCGCCCGCAGCGGAACCATGCACGACGACGCCTCGCTCCCCCAATTCTGGCGTTTCCGTTGAGCAGCCGCCACTCCTGTGGACGGACGCCCTTCGCGGCCTTGACGCCGACCCCACTCCGTGCGAAAAAAAAACACCACACACACACACACCTACACACACACACACACACACACACAGACGTGCACGCACGCACAAAATCATCATCCTGACGGAAGCGACCAGCGCCACCTTCATTTTAATTTGGCGCGGACAACAACCGACAATCAGGCTTCGTCCACGGCGACAGGGACGACGGCGACACCCAGGAGCAGCAGGAGCACCAAATTGGCCGACGCGCCCGGCCAGGGGTTTGGCCAGGAAGGACCTGGGTGTAGACTGGAGCAGTCTGCAGTCAGTCCGGCTGGAATCAGTCTGGCTGGAGTCAGTCAGTCTGGCTGGAGTCAGTCAGTCTGGCTGGAGTCAGTCAGTCTGGCTGGAGTCAGTCAGTCTGGCTGGAGTCAGTCAGTCTGGCTGGAGTCAACCAGTTTGGTTGGAGTCAGTCAGCCGCTGCCGTTAGTAAGCCGCTGGAGTCAGTCTGGCTGGAGTCAGCGGCTGGAGTCATTCTGGCTGCAGTCAGTCCGGAGTCAGCTCTGGGTTCGGTCTAAAGTAAGTTGAGAGTACTAAGTCTTAAGTCAGTGTTAGCGGTGAGCCCTTTCGGAGTCCACAGTAATGAGTCAGTCTGAGCCAGTTCGGAGTGGCTCCAGAGCCAGTCTAGAAGTCAGCCCAGAACCAGTGTCTAGAGCAGGTCTAGGCAGAGGCACTGACCCGCGCAACGTGCGTTTCGCAACCCCGGGGCGTGGCGCCTGCCTGCCAGGCCCCGCCAGGCGCTGCAGTGCAACTAACTCAATTAAGATACATCAACTCATTAGGCGCCAGCCTTGCGGGCAGGTGCATCGGCGTGCTGCCTGCCTGCGGATTACAGAACTATTCAGATCATGCGACACATCCTCGGCCGCCTGGCTGCCAGCCCCGTCCGTGCGTCCGTCTTTCCCACGAAAGAGGTTTTCCGTTAATTACTCGACGCCCCTTTATCGACGCCATTGTTTGCGATTTCTGTCGACAGGTGACAATCGTGGGATGTTGCACCGCCTGCTGGTGCCGCTTACTCCACCGCCATGACGAGACGGACAGACAGACAGACAGACAATTCAATTCAATTCAATTCGTATTTTATTAAGAAAAACTTAAACAAGGCACTTACAGATAGAAACATTAACATAGTAATCATAAACTGCCTAAAACTAGAAAAAGACAACCCCTAAGCATGACTGCTTGTCAGGGGTGGATTTGCTGTCTTTCTGTCATAACAATCAATAAAAACAAACAAACAAAAATCTTTTACAAACAAAAAAATCTTTTACAACTTAAACTCCACCTTTTTTTGTTATTTAGATTTTTCAATTGTTTGCACTTAAAAAATATTGTTTTAATTTTGTTTTCATGGCACTTTGACTTTGTATATTCCTTAAATCTACTGGCATCTTATTTAGTATTTTTGGCACGACCACCTCTGTCAGTCTATCACCATACTTATTCATACCTATCTTATATTGGAAACTCTCATTTCTCGTTAAGTACCTATGTTGCGCTATATTTCTAAAATCTTTCTTAAAATAATTTCTTTTTAAAATTTTTAATTTGTACAAATTTTCTAATGTTAAAATATTATTTGGTAATGGAACTCTTTGCTTTTTCTTCACAATCTTTACAGCTCTCTGCTGTAATGATTTAATGGGGAGCAGGTTTGTATCCGAGGCAGATCCCCACACTTCAAGCCCATAACTCATGACTGATTCAAAGAGGGCTGTATAAGCCATGTTTACTATGTTATGTGGGGAGCAGTTACTTAATTGTGATAATTTATACAGGCAACACCTCAACTTCCCTCTTAGCATTTTAACATGGCTTTTCCAGTTTAGATGTTTAGACAGACAGACAGACAGACAGACAGACGTTACGTCTGAACCACCAGCATCGCACAGCGACGGCCAAACTCCAAAAATTTTAGCCGCTCCGCGCATCCGCGTGCTCCAGAGATGCGGTGCCGGTCCGGACTAGACTGTTCACAAAACCGCGGCACCTTCTACGGACAACGCTCGTGTGTGGTGTGTGTGTGTGTGTGTGTATGTGTGTGTGTGTGTGTGTATGTGTGTGTGTGTGTGTGGCACGCAGTACTGGACGGCCCCTCCAGGAATAACACCTCGAGAAGATACAGTGCAGATCCAGAGCGGTGTGCAATTACAGACACTGGGCCTACGCGTCGCCGCTATGCGCTCCGGCCGGCTCCAGGCAGGGCTCCAGGCTCCAGCCAGGGCTCCGGCCCGGCCGGCACAAGCCACTTTGGGAGCGACAAGGTGCGCACCACCACCACGCTGGCCGCGGCAGACCGACTCCGAGAGGAGTCTTCGTCGCTCGGTCTCGCTCGCACCCATAGGGGACGCCCCATGAGTGCGAGAGAGACAGAGCGACGAAAACGACTCTCGGAGTCAGTCTGCTGGCCGCGGCTGGCCCGGCCCGCGGTGGGCCCGTTACAACGACTGCCCAAATTACACCGCGCTTCCGTCTCAGTCTTTTCGCTCATGATGTGAGAGGGCCTTCTCAAACTAGACATTTTTTTCGTCTCTCTCTCTCTCTCTCTCTCTCTCTCTCTCTCTCTCTCTCTCTCTCTCTCTCTCTCTCTCTCGACGTATCTGGCCGTGCGATACTTCTCCATTCCTAGGCTCCAGTGGCGCATGACGAGGACAACGGTGTGTGTGTGTGTGTGTGTGTGTGTCGTGTGTGTGTGAGTGTGGCTTCATGTGTGTGTGTGAGCGTGGCGCTCGCACGTCCGGTGGGTGAGGGACAGTGTGATGACACGTCATGAGTCACCACGCCCCCAGCGCGCTGTGCCGCGCTGGGGCGAAACGCCGTGCTGGGTAGGCCATCCCGGCACGCGCGCCAGCCGATGGGTTGCCTACGCCGCATTACCATAACTATTAAGGGCTAGACCAAACACGATCGTATGCCACTTCGGGCCCGACACATGCTCGCCTGCGCTGCAAAACGAGACATGGTCGTCCTTACTAAGGTGACGCTTTAAGGGCTAGACCACACACGATCGTATGCCACTTCGGGCCCGACACATGCTCGCCCGCGCTGCAAGGCGAGACAGGGTCGTCCTCACGGGCTAGACCACAAGGCGTGTGGACCGCACGGCGTTCCGAGTTCCGACTCCAAACTCGACACACCAAAGTACACCCGTTCCGGCCCTGCCGCGGCCGTGCCGGGCGGAGCCTGCCTACGTCGAACACGGAATAAAGATAAGGGCCGTTGTGTCCAATCTAGCCTTGATAATAATCCGATTAACGAACAGGTTGGGGAATGGGCCGTTTGGGGCTCGCGCGCTCGCAAGCCGATGCACAGTGTCGTGGAGGGGCTCTTGTTCTTGTTGGACTTGTTGTTGTTGCTGTCCGCGAGTGTGTGGGTAGCGTCGCGAGCCCTGCGTCCGTCCAGCCGCACCTGCCCGATGGGGCTGGGTGGGGAATTCCAGACTGCTGTCCACTACCGCCTCTCGTAAACATTGTAGGGATACCCGAGGGCGCGACACACACACACACACACACACACACACACACACACACACACACACACACGCACACACACATTCCTTCATTACTACTTCCGAAAGCAACCTACTCTTTCTTTCGCCTTAATAACGCGCGCGAATAACAAGATCCGTTACCATTGTGCCTCGAGAGTGCGCTTAATAATTTTGTTTGTGTAGAGGTGCGTATGTGTGAGTGTGCCGCGAGTCCAGTGCACCCTCTGTGTATATGAGAGAGAGAGAGAGAGAGAGAGAGAGAGAGAGAGAGAGAGAGAGAGAGAGAGAGAGAGGTGCGACGCCCTGATCCAAGCACGCAGCTCGCCGCGCCGCCTACCGTGTCACATGCTATCCTTCCTCTGCGCCGAGAGTGCAGCGCTACTGAAATATTCTCCATAAATGAACCTAGAATGAGATTGCAGCCGCCCATGATGAACCTGTTATTATGAGGTTCCACCAGTTCTCCCACGTCATAGCTCCTCGTCTTGAGCGTATATTGGTGGACAGAGCCAGAGAGAGAGAGAGAGAGAGAGAGAGAGAGAGAGAGAGAGAGAGAGAGAGAGAGAGAGAGAGAGAGAGAGAGAGAGAATTAGAGAGAGAGAGAGGGGGGGGGAGGGGGAGCAACGGCTCTGGATAACAAAGCCCCCGCGGATGAAGCCTCTCTGGGCCGTGGTCCGGCCCCGCGCTTGACTCAGCTCCACCCAATAGAGGACTGAGCAACAAATCCGCCGTGATCCCCTCAGAAGAGTCTCTCTCTCGCACTCACGGGGCTCTCCGTAAGGGTGCGGGAGAGACAGAGCGACAAACCGTTCTTATGAATCGCTGGGTAGGCCGCATCTCTGCCCCGCGACGCCGCCACGACCCGGCTTGGACTCTGACGGTCGCTATCTCAGACAGACAAATCCATTTTTGCCGCCCCCTCCTCGCCTCGGCGTCCTCGGGGACCTCGAGGTGGCACAACGGTTGAGATAATGCCCGGCAAAATAATGGGGATAATGACAATGAATGGGTAGAACCCGAGCGACGGCGGCGGTGTGACAAGGACGAGCCCAGTGACGGGCGGTGTGACAAGGACGCAGCGTGTGTGACGGACGGTGTGACAAGGACGCAGTGTGTGTGACGGCCCGTGACGAAGGCCTGCGGCCGTCGGGTCAAAAACTAATCTAGACGTTTTCTACACCACGAAGGAAAAAAAACGCTAATAGCGGCGAAGCTGTCCTGGCTTACCTTTTGCTCTGATGTCATACGCGTCCGGTGTCCTGGAAAAAAAATAAAAGCACAACGTTAGCAACGCCGACAAAGAGGGGGGGTACACGACGGGGGGTATGAAACATCATCATCGTCGTCCCTCCCAATTACACTAATGAAATTCAGCCAGCATCGCCGTTTTCGACGCGATGATAAACCGTACCGTTACAGTACGCAACAACACAACAGCGCGGGAAAGGCCCGCGATTAATATCGATTTCCGTGAGAAAGGGCCAGCCAGGAAGTCGTTCATCCCTTTACATTGTTACACGCACGCACGCACGCACGCACACACACACACACACGCCGAGTCTCCTTACGAGGATCAGCCGCCTGCTCAATCCCGTCCGCCATTTCTCATTCATTACACAGTGCATACGATTGTGACTGACAAATGCCTCGTCCAGTTTTTCATACCCGCTTATGCAAAAAAGGCAGCGCGGGCGCCCAACGTCGCCGTGCGTGCAAGCGCGCGCTCGTGCGCGTACGCGTGCGTGAGCGCGCGGGGCGGCAAAATTCAAATCACACGCCCGCATCTCACGTCCGAAAATCCGACCAAAAACACGGCGGGAGAGCTAACGGCGAGTCCGAAACTAGTCCACGCCTGACCCCGTGGCTGCGGCGCTGCGGCCGGGCCTGCCCGCGGTGCTAGCAGTGCCGGGGCTGGCAGTGCTGGCCCGAGGCGCACCGACTCCGTACAAAGGTAGCCCGTGGCGGTCCCAACGAATAAGTTGGCGCACTTCACAGCGGTCTGCGAGCGAGAGAGAGAGAGAGAGAGAGAGAGAGAGAGAGAGAGAGAGAGAGAGAGAGAGAGAGAGAGAGAGAGGCATAGAACTGGGCCATAAGGCGGTGCCAGTGCCCGGCCAGTGCCTAGGGGCAACCCTCTCCTTCCTTTCATTATATTCCCCACTTTTTGTTCTTCAAATCGAGAAGAAGAAAAAAGTGGCTCGCTATGAAAAACAGTTTGTTCTTGGCAAGGAAATTTGATTAACTCATCATGAAGGTCAATGACATAAAAGTCTTAACGTTTATTTGCTGAATAGATAACTAGTGGGCTTTTGAGGATAAGATTCGCTGCCCTATCATAACTAGACAGTTATCTCTACGTGTCCATACAGCAAAAACACCCTATTTGTTTTACGCTTTTGTTATCAATTTAAGTTTTGTTTAACGAACCTCTGGGTTCGAACGAAAACAAAGCTCCACTCGGCGGCAAACCCTTCGGCGATTCCCTCATTATCTTCTAAGTCGGGTCACTTGACGGGACGCGGCCAGGGTCGACAAATCGAGAAAGGACGGTGCCGTTCGATCATAGCTCATCAAAAACCACTAAACGGCGATTCGCAAGCTTCGCAGGCTCGGCAGGGTTCGCAAGTCGAAGGGCGCGCGGCACAGCGAGTCTGCAAAGAGCAAGCCAGCGGCGTCACGGCGTAGTGACTCCAACAAGCAGCTCGCCCCGAGCCCAACTGATCTTGTTGGCAAAATTAAAACACAAAAAAACATCCTTTGAAAAAAAAAAAAAAGATTCCGGCAGAGCTCTTATTACAAAAAAGTTGCTGTGTTCGATTTTCTTTTTATAAACGCAACGCGAAGAACGAAATCGTGTCGGCCAGAACAATTGACGAATAATTGCTACGTCCCAGGCCCATACTCTTCCGCCGCAGAGCAAGTATTCAATTGAATCGACATAAGCGGCCATATTTATTACCGCAGGGTTCGTGGGAACATTTTTGCAACGCGGAAAGCGAAGACAAAATGGAAAAGAAGTAATGCACTCTCAAAACCTTACAAACTATTTTGTGCCTCAGAAACAAAGTATTCAGAGCAAAAGCCTTCGTACAGAAAAAAAATCTTTACAATTTACCAGCTTTGTATAACGTATAATAGTTTGTGCTATACATATGTTCAAAAGTAGAGTTTTAAGCGTTGACATGGAAAGGTAAACAAAAGGCAAAGCCTTTTTTCATAAAATAATCAATTAGCGAAAAGTTACCTTCGCGACCAGATTCTTTCAAGAGAGTACTAGATCGCAGCAAGGACGATCCGAGGCACGGCGCGCTGACCGCATAGCGGCTTTGAAAAAGAGGGCGGGACGCAGCCGGCGTGGTCCGTAAACCAGTCCGCAGCATTTCGGTGCAAGAGAACTAGATTATTTACAGAGCTGTGGTTTGAGGGTCGGTTCTGCATCGATTTCATTGGTCAAGGATTGAGCATGACACGAGCAGTTAAATTGTTCACGGTAGAAACGGTACCTGGTTTTCCCAGGAAGCCTGGTTAAGACATAGGCGATTACCAGAAAGTTCCTGGGAAAACCAGATACCGTTTATATCGTGTTAAGGCTTTGTTGATGCAAAGTTCACCGTCGTCACAAGGCTGCAATCGTGGTTATCACGGACGAATTTGGGTAAAAGTTGATGCTGTTTTGTCGCAGGACTGTCCTCGCACGGGGCTCTGTTTCCAGAAAAACAAGCGCCCGGCGCGTCCAAAGCAGTCGAACTTGGAAATTCAGATCCACGGCCACTACGTCCACGCATCAGTGCTATCGGATTGCCATTCCGAAGCAGTTTCGCTGCCGCGCGGTACCGCGGTCACGTACTCTACGTGCGGGCGGGGGAGTCGGAGGGCCGCCTCCGAGGGCGCGGCGGCGAGGCAGACTGCCTCCGAGAGTCGCTCTGTCTCTCTCGCACCCACAAGGGACGCCCCATGACTGCGAGAGAGGCAGAGCGACGACTCTCGGAGCGAGTGCCGCGGCGGACGCGTCCCGGCACACCAACCGCCTATTACGGGAGCGCGGTGTGCCGCCAAAGCGCGGCGCTATTCTTTCCAATATAAATACATCCAGCAATCAGAAGGGCTTCCTTAGCGGGGTAGCCCACTAATTGCACCGTAATCAACAGTGCCGGGGCAGTGCCTGGGCGATGCCGGGCGAAGGGCAAGACATTGACACTGCGCTCTCCCACCACTTTCACAACAAACTGCCACAATACTTGACGCATTTTTGTTTCGCACTCTCAATTTCCAGCCGATAAATGTCGTGCAGCCGTAATACTAGGCTAATTCTCCGCACTCTTCAACACAAATCTGTCATAACACAAAGAAATTCGTCCGTAATGAGAAGAAACTGGTCAAAAGTTACTGAAAACCTTCTGTCACACATTAACATCTTCTCTGTGCTGTAATAATGCTGAGCTATTTGTTCATTTTCCGAAGAAAAAGCTGAGTAGGATATTGGCAGAACAAGTTCTTTTTTCGAGCAGGACGCGAATCTTCGCCCCTTCCAAGAAGTCGCGCCGACAATAATTTTCACACTGATTTGTTCTTTTTTTCTCCTTTACCGTTGGCAAAAGGCGCATGCGCCTCCCGGATCCCGAGAACCGTGCAAATGAGTGTCGTTAAGTAGCGCGACATGAAGTCATTATCGGATAAGGCCGCATTGGTAGCGGCACACCGTGTGGCACACCGTGTGGCACACGCACGGCCAAATTGGGCACCGCGTCCCGCTGCAGCGCGCTCCAGTACCAAACGAGCAACGCGGGGAAGGAATCAGGGAGGCACTAGTGCAGTGATTCCGAACCCTGGCGAGGACAGCCTTGGTACTTGGACCAACAAGTCTTTGGAACTAGATCTGTGTCATGAGACTTTGGACTTGGATCCATATCACAACTCTATAAAACTTGGAAGCGCATCACAAGTCTTTGAACTTGGAAGCATATAACCAGGCATTGAATTGTGGACTCATAATGTGCCGAGAGGACCAACACCACTAGTCTTTGAACGTACCCACATCACAAGCAATTGAACTTGAACCCACTTCAAAAGCTATTGAACTTGAACCCACATCAAAAGCCATGAACCTGAACCCACATCAAAAGCCTTTGAACTTTGGACCCACAGCACAAGTCTTTGAACTTGGACCCACATCGGAAGTCTTTGAACTTGGACCCACGTCACAAGTCTTTGAGCTTGGACCCACATCACAAGTCTTTGAACTTGGACCCACAACACAAGCCTATGAACTTGAACCCACAACACAAGCCTTTGAACTTGGACCCACATCCTGGGTCTTTGAAATTGGATGCATACCACGAGTCTTAGGGACACAAGCCCTTGATCGCGGACAAAGCGTACTTGAACCACGAGCATACTTGAACTCCGAATGCCTCCATTGCATAAAACGAGTACTATGCGAGGCTTGCGCTCCAAAGCGCACACGCCCACCGCTCTGAGCATCGCTCGCCTGCATCACCGCCCCGTCGGCGTGCGTGCCCTCAGCGCGAAGCACAACCTTGGCGCAGATCACTTTTCGCTAATAGGAATCATCCAGCCGAGATCTTGTCACTGGCCGGGGTCGGCAGGCGTGCGCAAGCGCTAAGGACAATAGGTACCTTCGGGCAGTATGCGCCAGCGCACTAGCTCACCCGGCATTACCATATCAGATGCCAAGCCATGCGAGAAGGGAGTTCAAATCTGCGTTTCAATGCCCGCTAACCTTCGCGTAGCTTCGCGTAAGCGATGAGGCAATGTCATGCCGCGCTGCACAGCGGCTCTGTCTTATAGCGGCCCAGAAGACCGGTGGAGGCGATCAAAATCCCGGACGCGTTTTGAGCTCCAGAGTCGCTAAATGGGACTTGAAACGAACGTGTGACCCCACCAATGGATTGCTCTTCGGACGAGGAATCCATTGGTGGGGTCACATGTTCGGTTCAGTCTCATTTAGCGACTCTCAAACTCATAAGGCGGTCTTCTGGGCCCACCGGGCGGCGGCTCCGGGAGACCTGCACGCGGGGCGCGACCCGAGCTCACGCGCCGACGATGTCTCAATGCAACGTCCGCCTCCAAGGTCGCAAAACGGACTCATTATTTTTCGAGCCATGCCGGAGCCATGCCGGAGCACGGACGGGAAGAAAACGAGTTGAAAGCGAAACAATCTCGTTCACATCAGGCGGGACAGTGGATGAAGGATGGTGCGCAATTTTCAATCAGCCAATCGGCAGACCAGCTCGGGCTAGCC